GTTCTTGACATTTTGTGCATTTTTAAACAACAACCTCATATGACCCCTACGTGACTTTTGACCTCCAATTTTGGAAGAGTTGTGATGAACCCCAACCAAAGGATCACTCCATCCATTTCCTAAGTGACATTATATAATCCATCAAATTCTGTACTAGACAAAGAAACATTTGAAGCATATTTGAACAATGACCTCTAATGAGCCCTAGATGACCTTTGACCTCAGTAATTCCATGAAGAATTGTGTCTTCTCATGCACCCAAGGGTCACTGCATCTAAGTTTCATAAAAATCCATGAAAGCATGTAGAATGTTGTAAGCTTTTCCCCAAAACTGTTAATTACACCATGATTAACCTCAGTTGACCGTTGACCCATGACATTTGATCTAAAATATATCGCACATTTGGGCAAATATTTAGGAAACGAGAGAAATTCCAAAACTTTTACATACATGCGAGACTTTAAGGGTCTAAGGGTCTACGGGTCTAATCATTTTCTAATTCTCCCTATGACAACTTCCGGTTTGATGACGTCACGCTCCTAAAACCTCACAAATTCATAATTTTACGTTTTTTCCATAGAATATCCAAGGGTAAGTTTGGTAAACGTTTGATGAATGGTTTTTAAATAGTCCAACTTTCTATGACGTGCCGCTGGGGGGGGGAGGGCTCTTTCAGGCTCTTTCATTTTGATTACAAAATATCAACATGAATTTTATTTTGTTCAAGACTTCGTTCAAGCGATGGTCGCTTTTGAAGATGTTGGATAAGGGTTAATTTTTGTTCAAAGTTTCATGTTACAAGGTACTGTTTAGAAGAAAAGAAGCGGAGCATCATCTAGAAAAAAAAATAAAAGGAAACATAAGGGCAAAAGAAAAATTGTGACCATTTCAAAATTGTGATCAGTTTGTACCCACAGAGCTATATGAAATCACCAGAACGCTAACTCCTCACTTTTTTGCGCAGAAAAGCCCTGAGGGCGTTCTGGGCGCAGACGTTTTGAATTCATGTGGGTGTTTGTAAAACAAAATGGAATTAGATGGGGTAGATTTCGAAAGTGCACTCTAAATGTGGTATCTACCAAAATGACATCATATACAGTACTGGCCAACCAACATTCATGCCAAATATTAGGAAAATCACGCAAAAAAAAAAGGAATTACAATGGGGGATCAGTGAGGGGGAACAGCAATTCGGTCTTTAGCAGATCCAAAACACCCCAGTCCTGATAGTGATAGGGTTAACTTTCAATAGACTGTAGTCCTATCAATGAAGAGAGAATCCACAGCCATTGACTCTGACTTGGCAATTGCTTCAATATTTACACATAGGGCCAAAACATAATGATTCTGCTTCCGGTTACCCCACCTACCCTATTTTGACAGCCCCTACCCTAATTTTGTTTTGGGAACAATGAAAAAATTAAATAAAAACCATCAATTACCACCTTTTACCATGGACTACACACAGACACCTACATATATGATCAACACAAAAAGAATGCACTTAACTTCCTGCCCTATTTTCAAATGCCATGTTATCGGAAGCAGAACTATTTTTTGGCCTAGGCTGTATTTACCAGTACATCTAAGGACATGAAACCACTTTGAGTGAGTAAACCCAGTAGAAATATGACCACAGAAATATTACCACCTTTTACCTATCTATGCGAATATTCAGCCCTCTACTTTAAAATGTAGTTCCACCCCTAAAAGGGCAAAATCCTTGCAACCTTTTAAACTTATCTTTACTTTACAGTGTATGGCAAACATAGTTAACCAATGCATAATTTGTGTTTTACCAGCAAAAGTGCTGCATTTTCCCTCGTTTGAATGAAGCTGCTTTAATGTGCGGCCTCCTTTTCATATTTAGGCCACGCCCACAAAAAAATAACAAGTGTTAGAATGTTTGAATTTTTTTATCATGTCTCTGTGTATTTAAAAGCATGAAGAACAAAGGAAAATGTATGTTAAATACAGTTTTTCTAAATTTTTATTTGTTTGCACTCCCCTTTTTAACTGATCAAGCTCCGCCCCAAAAATGGGCAAGATCCAAGATGGGTCCATCCCTTAAAATGATTTTCAGCTCATTTCGACTAAACATGCCAATTTACAAGATTTTACCACCAAACTGAATGGTATTTTCCATATTTGAACCAGACTGCTAATATATACCGCCTCTTTTACACATTTAGGCCACGCCCACAAAATGGGTGGAAAACAACAGGTGTTAACAAGCTGGAATGTCTTATTTTATGTTGAAGCTTACTTCAACGCAAAGAAAATATGAGGGAAATGGATGTTAAATACAGTTTTTATTGTTTGCACCTCCTTTTTCAAAAAATCAAGCTCCGCCCCCAAAATGGGCAAAATCCAGGATGGGTCCCGATCTTAAAATGATTTCTAGCCCATTTTGACCCCACATGCCAAATTTCATGCTTTTACCACAAAGTGCACGATTTTGGCCAAAAATGGACCTAAGCAGCTCCACTATTAACCATGGCATCTATTTTGGTTACTTGCTCCCTAAGTCCTTTCATCCCACAAAGTTTTAAAAAATCGATTTTTTGAGCGTGGACACTTATATGAAGTATTTACACGAAATGACTCTTAAGACTGATTCATTACTCTTTTATTCCAGTTTAGAGATGTTTTTTTTTCGTTGAAAAGCGTAATAATGAAGGAAATTCTGTAAGACTTATCCGTGTTGTAAATGTACAATTCCCGTCACTTGCTCAGGCTCCGTTTGGAATCACGAACGGTCGGATTGCATTATGCGACGCTCAAAATTGTGTCCACGTGGTCCGCAATGAAACAGAAGTCACATCCGGTATGAAACGTGTGCATTTCTATGGGAAGTTTTCGGATAGCATTTGCGCACATTGTCTAACTGCGGTTTTTGAACAGCCTGCAGCCAGATGCTTTATACATAGGTCAAAGGCCACTTCCTTCACAAGATTCTGTGAAGCTCATCAGCGTATCCATGCAGCGTCCTGTTTGCAGGGCGGACGGTACGAGCGAACGCTGGCAGATCATATACATGACATTTACCGGTGTCATATGAAAATCTGACTCCTATGAAAATCGGACACCTTTTCCCTATTATTGGTTAATCCCTCGCACGTGACAGGTCACTCTCCCATTATGATCCTATAAATAGCATATTATCGTACATATGCGCATGCGCGCAATACTAGCAATGAGTCCACATTATTTTCATGGAGTGGGATATTAAAGTTACACCGGCACACTTGGCATTTCCCATGCATTGAAAACTGCAAAATTATAATGCAACTTCATTAGCCGCGTAAAAACACTGGCATTCAGATCACTTTCACATCAGCCACACAAAACGTATATACTTTGGAAACTATGTACGGGGCACAGGAAAACATGAAGAAAGATTGCATTTCTTTAAAGCCAGAGTCCATCATTTGCAGCAATCCAAAAAGTAACTAGCGTAATTATTGTTGAAAAACTATAGTGTCCGCAAGTGGTTTTGATTATGGCAGGAAAATAAACTCCAGAGAAATTATTAGGGCCAGAGGAATCGCTGCGATTCTCTTTTGAATTGATGGTTTACTAGACCTAATGTATTTGAAGTGTTTCTTTTAACTCGAAGCAGCAAATTTCACGATTGATCTTTCTTTAATGAGAAGATAGAGAGGTGATCCCGAAGTCAGTAAATATTTATCGTCTCATCTATCCTCTACGTACCGCGACAGGTAAAAAACATTTCCGCGATTTGCGGAAAACAGTGGCGTAAATCTGTGCCGGCGAGTGGGGGGATGGGGGGTGACCAAAATCCAAAATTTGCCCGGCCGTGGAAATTCGAAAGGGGGGGGGGGACATCACATTACATCAGGGGGCGCTCTTCGGGATATAGATGTATATCAATATGTATACTCACGCTTTATCAAAACGGCGCGTTTTAAAAGCTTTTGTATTTTTCCACACTTTTCAGTGCTATTGAATACATTTTGGTTGTTGGGATGGTCGAAAAATACCTCTAAATCCGCATTTTTATTCTCATCACGAAAAAGTGTGTGTGTGTGTGGGGGGGGGGGGGGGGGCGGGTGATTCAATATCCCATCTCCCCGTGGTCAAAAAAGTGGTGGGATATATACCCCCCCCCCCCACCCCCCGCCGCCCGGGATTGACGCCCCTAGCAGAAAAGCCTTTTTTTCCCCTTCCGATTTCATTCTTGTTCTATCCCAAATCAAATAGACTATGTACACAAATTTTCTAGGTGGCACTTTCGACAGTTTTCAGGGTCCGCGAATATGGACGTCATGATGACGTCATCACGTGTCCTGTGACGTCATCATAAAGGTGCCATTTTCAAAGGCCTATATCGACTTATCTACTAGGCCGATTGGGTTCAGATTTTGTATGTAGGCCTACATAGACAGGGATATGTTGTGGGTGAAAACTTGAAGTGACGTCATGATGACGTCATCACGTGTCATGTGACGTCATCTCAAAGGTGAATTATCAAAGGCCTATATCTACTTAAAACTAATTGGCCGATTGGGTTCAAATTTTTATGTGTAAATAGACAGGGATGTGAATTGACGTCATTATGACGTGATCACGTGTCATTTGATGTCATTTTCAAATATTCAATTTTCAATGGCCCGTATCTAAATAACTACCGGGCCGATAGGGTTCAAATTTTGCATGTACACGTACTGGGATGTGTCATAGATGACAATGGAGGTGACGTCATGATGACGTCATCATACGATTTATATATATGTGAATTTTTTTGACATTTTAAAGCTTATTGCCGTATGGGTTTGTCAGGTTTTGTAGGTCACAGGTATGCACACAAAAAAATCGGGTGACAAATGTGAACGTCATCAGGATGTCATCATTTACATGACTGTACAAGTGCACATGGATTAAATAAGCATAATATTGTTTTTTAAAAATGTGGAAAAGCCGTATGTTCTGTTCATCGAACATACATATTAGTTGCTTTTTGATGTTATCTTTTCAGTTCCAATAAGCCTGACTGACTGTTGGTACCACACTCACTCATCAGCCGCCTCCGAGTGTCGTAGGACCGGCCAACACCTCTGCCTTCCGTGGGAACTTGACCACGCCTCCAAGGAGGGCTACCCAGCCACACCTCCCTCATGGTACGCTGATACCGACAGCCAGGCCGTGCTGACCGAGACCGGAGTGACCTACCACGACCTGCCGCTGACCGCCCAGTCTCCCGGCTTGTGCTGCTCCCTCCCGATGACCTACCGAGACCCAGTCATCACTCCCAAGAGCTACGAGCTCGCAGACCGTGCTGGGCAGGCCAGTGGTTGCTCCGACCTGGCAGCTCATCCCTGTTCCTTGGCCGAGTTGAAAGAGGCTTATGATCGAAGTTATGTATCGGGTTACTGGCTCTACTTCGAGATACCCAATCGCGAGGCTACAGTTGCCGGATGTAATCCAATGTATCATTATGGCAATGAGTGTTACGAAGGTACCATAGCTAACACACCAAGACCATACGCTTATGCACAAGTGTACTGCTGCCGAAATCGTGCGTGACTGCAAGTTGTCAACTCTATTGGCCCTTTTACACAGTTGGGTTATAAGAGCGACTGACCGACTGTACTTGCAACTACTTAAATATGTACTTATCTGCCTCGGAAAAAGGGATAGAACCCCCAAACTCTCATCAGATTTGACTAGAAAGATTGCACCCACCGCATATTCAGGGAGGTGCATCTAATCTGATGAACTTTTAGCTTAGTGAATAATGTATATTTCAAAGGAAAAAAAACAATATTCTAGGATCTCGATTTTAATTCAAAAGTTGCCGAGTGGTGTTTTGAAATGCGCCCGAATCAGCATCCGGGACACGTTCTTATTCAGCCGATTGCAGCTACGCGATGTCACGCCTGGAACGACAAATAATAGCAACCGTGCGTGTATGTCATATCAACGCTTTCGTGCACCCATTCACGGATTCGCCCGCGTAAGTTCCAAAAATGCGTCATTTGACGTATCTTTTGAAATGTCCTTCTTTTATTGTTTTCTTCAAAATGACAGCACGCCAGAAAAATAATTTCACAAGAAGTTTATTGCTAGTACTATTTTTTTTCAGGAGCGCCTTCTTTTCAAAAGTGCCTTTTCTCACGAACGCCCTTTTCTCACGAGCGCCTTTTTCACGAGCGACCTTTTTTTGTCAAGAGCGCGTTTTTTCACGAGCGCCTTTTTTTTCAAGAGCGCCTTTTTTCATGAGCGCCTTTTTTTTCACGAGCGCCTTGTTTTCAAGAGAGCCCGTTTTTCATGAGCGCCTTTTCATCAAGAGCGCCTTTTTTTCAGGAACGCCTTTTTTTCACGAGCGCCATTTTTTCACGAGCGCCTTGTTTGCCCGAGAGCCCTTTTTTCACGAGCGACCTTTTTTGTCAAGAGTGCCCTTTTTTCACGAGCGCCTTTTTTCACGAGCGCCTTTATTTCACAAGCGCCTTTTTTCACGAGCGCGTGCGGACGCAGCGCGCAGCAGGAACCACAATGTCAGTTTCGAGCGAGCGGCGCAAAATTTGTTTCGGTAAGCAAAGAATATTTCAACATAGTTGAGAAATAAAGACAGTGTCCTGAAATTTATATCTTGCGGATCAAGTCAGGCTTATATAAATCCTATACTAAACGAGCATACGCTGTCTGTTTGTCTGATGTCCGTGTGTCACGGTTTTTTGTGCGGAAGCAAAAAACGCAAGGGCGGATCCAGGGGGTAAAGGGGGCCATACACCCCCCCCCCCCCACCAAAAAAGAACTTATTTTTTAAGTGACGTCGCAATAAAGGCAGGCAATGAGTACACCACCATCTGTACCCTCAAAAAACATTGGCCAAAGTGGTCAGAAATTGCCCAGATCGCACCACAGAGCATCTAGAATCCAAAACAATTTCGGGGCCCTTAAGCGGGCCCCGAACCCCACGACGTAATTTCTTTGTGCCCACTTTTTGGGGACCACAATTTTTTTGCCCCCCCCCCCCACAAAAAATGCAGTTCTGGATCCGCCCCTGACAAAATGTAAGGGTCAATGGAGATGCTTGGTAATATAAACGGTTCCTCTGCGGTCATCTAGTGCATGCAGTTCCTCAAATGGTATATGCTCCGATTTCACTGTCCTCTGAAGTCACGTTTGGCACGTGAAACAAAACGATTCATTTATTTATATATTTTTTGAAAACTTGTTTCTTTGAGACATAGAGTAGTTAAGTATTACATTATAATCTATGAAAACTCTCCAAAATATCGCTAATAAGCAAAACATTAATGATGAACAATGTGGCACGATTGTTTCGCCAAGGTTTACCACGCCCACTTGGGGTCAACATGCAAATTGAGGTCAAAGTAACACATAAGTATAACCCTTTAACCGTCGATCGTACGAATTCGTACGATATGAATGTGCATTTCGAAACCAGGAGCACGTTTTGGCGGCCCTTGAACTGGAACATGTTTCTGACGTCACAGCCGTGACCTGAAACATGTTTCCTGTGCACCGCGAAAACGACTGACTTGAAAATTGTTCATGACATCATGTTACTGCCTACGTGATTGCACACAACCCCCAAAAAATCACGCGGCGACCGGACATGATTAACAATAACATTCAAAGCAGAAGTGGGAGTTTTTTTTATAGCGTTTCCCTAAAGTTCTAAAAAAAAAAAGGAGGCCTGATATTCTGTATCAACTTTCATACCAATTGAAGGTAAAAACCCACTATTTAAACCCCATTTATGGTAAAAAGTAGCGACGTCTGCTAAGCTTGTTTACCTTTCCGCCATCTTGAAACATAAGTGAACCGACCGGAAACCTCGGTTCAACTTTGGTCGAAACAATGACGTCATTTCAGTGTAACCGAAGCGCCAAAACGGCCGCGAACCAGAAACATATTTACGGTCACAGCGCCAAAACGTGCCCCTGACTGTATGATAAACCCTTCTCATAGAATACGTCAATTGAGGGCGCACTGTTCAAGATTCACAGAAACGTTATACGATATCAATCCATCATGTTCGTTGATAAACCTGTCAAGTTTTCGCTCAAAATTGTAAATTTTCCCAATTCCGGTTTTCAATAGCAGGTGCTAATTGTTAAGGCAGGCTCTCTGTGCTAGAGGGGACAATGAATGATATTTGGGCCTTATCACATGCAAAAGTCCCCCGGTAGTTGCCTGTCAGCATAACATTACAGCGCCCATTGTCTGTTACAAATCGTTTTCCACAAAATGTCTAGGTTTTCGTATATGCAAGTTGTTTTCAAATCTTAATTTTCAACATTTTGCTCCACTTTCAACTTTTTAAACCTTCAAACAATACAAACTTTACGACTCCACCCAGCTAGCGGGTGCCCCGCAAAGCGCGGAATCCCGCTAGTAAAAATAATAATAACGGTGGATGGCTTTTTTCGGGAGATACAAGAATATATATTGCACTCGCTATAGCAATATCTTCGACTCGTGAAATAGTGTTATACCTCGTGCTGTATTTTCTTGTATCCCCTCAAATCAATCGAATAATATTATATAGATACTTAATGTTCATTGTTCTAATTAATATTCTATATTACGTCGGACGAGTGTTTGAGATGAATTTAGAATCAGTTTGGTAAAGTTAGTACTAAGGTTTTTGGCTAGATAATTATATAAAACTAACAAAATAATTTGTAGAAACGAAGTCTGTTTATCATGAGACGGTATTATTCTATTAGTTTGTTTGTAAAGTCTTTTGTGAAATTGGTTAAATATTAAGCAGTAATTGCGACAAAATAGGTAATGTAAATACATTAATCTTGATTCTACTCAATTTATATTATTTTATCAAAATGCAGTGGTGCACCCAAGGGGGGAGGGAGGTTTGAAGCCCCCACCCCCAAGAGGTTGTCAATTTTTTGGGAGTGTCAATTTTTTGTAGTCCCACGATTTGACCGTGGTGATCTGTATGTGCATGGCTTTTTCGAGTAGTATAATAGGAGTGTGAATGGCACAACCCACGTCAGAAAAGTCCATCCCCCTCAACCCCCCCCCCCCCAAAAAAAAAAATCTGCGGCCAAACATTTTGGGCAACATTTTTTGAAAAAAACAACCTAAAAAAATGGGGGAAATTGTGAGCCCCCCCCCCCCAGCCAAATCCTGGGTGCACCGCTGTCAAAATGTTCGAAATGTAGGTTTTTTGTTCAAGGCACTTTACTGTTGTGAGCACTCGAACTCAGCGATCATTGTAGGCCTATGAGAACTTTTAGGAAGCAAATCAGATCACAATTCACACAAACATTGCATATCCCAACAAAATTTAAATCCAATCAAATATATTGTTTTTTGACAAAAGCAGTTATATTCGTCGCTGATATATAGTTGTACCAACAGAAACAATGTACATGTAGTGCCAAAAAAGAGTACTTATTTTTACAAATTCGGTGTTGTAGTCAAATGAAATTGAGGTTAAGTCGTCATTCATTAATTTAAAGGTTGAAAGCTTTGTATAATATAATTGTCTTGCTGTTATTATTGTTGAAATGGCGTCAACTTTGATTGGTTTCAAGTTGTATGAAGTCAAACTGTATTTTTTTGTAATGAACTTGCTCTAAGGAGCAACAAAGAAAAGAAAAAAGCAAGTTTTTACACGATCGAAACCCACTATAAAGTAAGCAGAAATAACAAACAACAGCTGGCAACTAAGGAACGTATAGGACCATAGCTTTCCCGATTTCAAAGTGATACGAAACATGCGTGGGCGTCGCGGGGGGGGGGGCTCGGAAAAGAACAAAAAGGGGGACAATGAAAACGAGAGGCGAAGTCATATCGCCGTTAATTTAATGCACATTTAACAACATGGGCGTTCGCAGGGGTGTCAACGGGGTGAATGTGGGCAAATGTTCTCACGCCCACCCTCGAAAAATTGATAAATTTAGAATATGCTGAGAAAGTACAAGGATTTTTGGAAAATAATGTGCTTTGCCCCCTCCTGGCGACTCCCATGGAAACATGGCTATATGGGCAATTCCACGGTTACTCACGTTACATTTTAGTAACGTGAGTAACCGATTTTGTGCGTCTTGTTTATCATACATAACACATTTTTTTGGATGTCATCTTTGGTGCTAGGGTAGGTCTAGGTCTACTCTATCTACCATGGGGATAACAGTTATTAAACCTTTTCAGTAAGGTAATTACAGCCCAAGGAAACTCAAAAGTACATCAAAAATGTAACGTGAGTGGCCGTGGAATTGTCCATATCAGCATCACACAGCAATCATGTCATTGGCTTTATAATACCGCTTCATGATCCCAAGCATGCGTATTCATGCACTGCAGTCCTCCGTTGTCTTGCCCTTATGGGAAAAAAATTATCGTGGCCCTGAAGAGACATCACACATGGTAGCAAATATCTTTGCAAATATTTGCGACAATATTTGCGACATCGCAGATATTTTAGTAAATAATTGCAAAGATATTTGCGACGTGTGATGTTCCTTCAGGGCCACGATACAAAATGTTTACCTTGTCAAATAGTCGCTATTCATACGGTGACAGCGTCGACTGTCTACCGTGTTTCCGTTTTAAAGATGGACTGTGAAATTAATTTAACACTCGGTGTTATCCTAGTATCCATTCCTCTAAATGTTAGAAACAATAATGGTATGTACTTTCCTGCCTTTTATTTTAGAATTGCACTTTTCTCCCTATACATTTACATACCAATAATTATGCTACGTATTTTTCTTGACACGTGAGGGCACAAAA